ATCTCAAGAAGTTTCAGACAATGAACCAGCTAATCCACTGCTCCATTTCCCTTCAGAAGACAACTGCAAAAATGAAGAAGCCCCAAATCCCAATCTCTCCAAAAATGTATGCTGAGTTTTCTAGGTTTCCTTGTTTTGTGTACAAACATCAACATAGCCTTTGCTTTGTTGACAATCTCATTGCATTGTCCTTCTCTCCTCCCTTTTTTTGGACAGCTATACTGAGGTAATAATTATTGTGGGAATTTCTTCAAAACTTAGAACTTTATGTATCTTATAAGTAAATCCTATATCCTAGCCAATGTCAACTTTTTTTTTAGCTAAACAACACTGGGAATATGAGGTCAGGTTGTTAAGAGCATCAATGAGTCTGGCTAAGAGAGGGAAGGAGAAAGAAAGGAATGATACATATAAAAATAAAATAATTTTTCCAAAGTTATGGGTCTGTAAAGGCAGTGCAGTGTTTTAGAATAACCTGAGAAATTTAAGTTATTATTACATTATCCATAATCCTCTAGATATTTCACCTTAGGTAGAGTTCAACCTTTCAGCATTGCAATGCATCCGTCTTCAAGAGAAAAGTACTCAGTTTCTAATGTCTCATTGGAACTTTGAAATGGGTTCTTTTTAAGGAGAACTCAGAACTACATTTTTTATGTAGTGAACTATGCAAGAGAAATCACAGAATTGGCCTGAACTTGAAGTGACCATTATATTGCTTTTAAATTTCAAGGGATGAAGTTCTTATGGCAAAAGGGTAAAATTAGGTAAGCAAGATGTGTTAATCTGTTCTCACCCTGCTAATAAAGACATATCTGAGACTGGGTAATTTATAAAGGAAAGAGGTTTAATTTACTCACAGTTCAGCATAGCCGGGGGAAGGGGGTGCCGGAAACTTACAATCGTGGTGGAAAGGAAAGCAAACATGTAATTCTTCACATGGCAGCAGCAAGAAGAAGTGCCAAGCAAGAAGGTGAAAGCCTCTTATAAAACCATCAGATCTTGTGATAACTCACTCACTATCATGAGAACAACATGAGTGTAACTGCCCCCTTGATTAAATCTGGGTCCCTCCTATGACATGTGGGGATTATGGGAACTAAATTCAAGATGAGATTTGGGGGGGACACAACCAAACCATATCACAAGATAATTTGCTTCATTCAAATCTAAAATTTCATCTGGCATTTCTAGGGTCAGAAAGTACAAAGCCATAGAAAATAGAAAAGGCTCAGGTTTCTTCCTCTGTTTTCAGTCCAGGTCAAACACTGGTTCTTTGTATTATATTCAACTTCCGAAATGCACTCTTGAATTCTTGTAAAACCTACTTTTTTAGAGTTCATGGACTGATCTGGTTAATATTTCCTATAAAGAGGAGGTAAAGTCTTCTCAATGAGACCTGAAATGTAAAAAGTCCAGATATGCCAGGCAAGCACTTTGGATTATTTGCATTATAAACCAATTAGTTAAAATGGTAGCTCCTCTGGTACATTTAAGCATTTTACAAATAATTACCTGCTTTGAAGAGAGCTGGGAAACACACTAAAGTAGAAGCAGCCATTTTCAGGTAAAGATGCTGCTTTTCCACAAAAGAAAAATTGAGAGACTTTTAGTTTCCTCAGAGGGAGAATAAGTTTGTACTTACAGAAAGATCTCAGAAACAACATGCTATGAAAAGTGAGGCATAGAACCATACCATTTCTTGCCTCCCTGCTGTAGGCCAAACCTTAGACCAGACACGTTATGTATTATTTCATTTAATCCTGCAAAAATCCATGAAATGTGATATTATCCCCATTTTCTAAATAAAGAAAATTAGCTTCAGACAGTTGTAAGGCAGTTTAGAGCTGGCATTTGAGTTCAGGCCTCAACCTGTGCCCTTTTCATATTGGAAAACCCCAAAACAAAAACAGAGGAGTCCGTGATTTTGCCTGAAGTGATCACTTCACATTGGTGTACTTTTCTTCCATTTCTTTGCTTTTTTCCCTTAAAAATGGGGTGATTTGAGAGTCCTCAATAGGGTAGTATACAAGAGAGAAGTCAGTGTCACTCCCCTACTCTAAGCAAAAGGGTCATCTGGCTGCCCTATCATTTTAATCTATAGAATTCTACTTTGTATCATACAGAATTCTGAGTTATTGGGCTTAGGAGTGAATGGGGATGACAGAAAGTGAGCTTAAAAGCAAATATGTCCAAGCACCTTTGATTTAGTAATGTTATGAGCTATAAGAAGATGTGGGTGTATAGATGAATGTCAGTTTTTAGTGCACATCTAGACGAAGGCACACAGTTGGTGCACTGGATTGATATGGCCTTTGAGAATGGACACTTTGCTTTTCCCTTTTTAGGCACTACAGTCTGGAAGTCTGTTTGTTGCCACACAGGGCTAGAGAGTGACAGCTTGATTTTGGGAATTAGATTCTATGCTGCCAGGAAAGCAGAGATTGTGAGAAACTGGATACTGTTTGTTACTTGGTACAGAATTCGAGGTGATTTTTACATGCAAGCCATAGACACCATGAGGCAACTTGCTGAAAAAAAGAGGAAGGAACCAAGATTTGGAATAGAAAGATCTGGACTCAGGTCTCAGTTTTATTCCTATTACCACTTCAGACTGGCTTGAGCAATTCTTAGCCTTGCTGATGGTCAGTTTTCTCATCTGCAAAACAGAAATAATTATAATACCAACGTTGGAAAATTGTAAGCCTAAGATAAGATAACATAACAATTTATTTACAGACTGCTAAGTAGTCATATGAAAAGTAGTTGTTAATATTATTTTAATTCACTGGAGATGGTTAATAGCAGCTGTCTTCCTAATTGTCCTCACTTGGTGGCCAGAGGTCTCTGGTCCTGATGGCTCTTTTATAATTTGTGTTCTTATTTACCAACAAATTATACACTTTTTAACCAAATTTTTCATTGAAACTGTGTTCTTTGGAAGTCTCAGTTCAGGCTGGACATAAAAATGGCAGTCCAATCAAATTATATTTTTTAGCAAAATGTAGAATAAAGTGGAAGGTAAGAGGGGAATCTAAATGAGGCAAGCAAGAGTGTGGTGGGGGCTGTTAAGTTCCTGCTCTAATAGTTATCAATTATGTCTTTGTTTCCATGCCAATTAAATAGGAGAATAATTAACTGTAACGATTCCACTGCATTTTTGATGTTAAATGAAATAATACATATGTGGCATTATGTGCTTAGAACATAGTAAGTACGAAATAAATATTAATTATTATAATTAGAAATGGAAAGTTATCATTTAAAAAACCCTTTGAGGAAGTCAGAAGCAAGGCTATGTAATGCTGAACTATGTCCAGGTTTGTTCAAGAGAGTTGGTTGCCAACTCCATATCTAGACATGTCTACCAGTTCAGTGGCTTAGGCATTGAAAATGTAGCTATCTTCCACCATTCTTAGGCTCATCATTCTTAACTCCATACAATTTGATTTGAATTAATTTAGTCATCTTTTTTTTTTTTAATCCATAGGGTAGCAGCCAATTTCACTGGCTTTTAAAATCAATTAATTAATGAATGTTCCAATTTATATTAAGGTTATTTCCCCCTTTTGTAGGCGTCTTTCTCCTCTCCTCTCCTCTCACTCACCCTGTCTCTCTCTCTCTCTCCCTCTCTCACACACACACACACACATACACACATGCATGTACGCACACACACAGAATCTGTGCCAAGCCTGGCTGAAGCACAGACATGCGTCATATGCATTTCCTACCCACAATCCAAGAGAAGTGGTAAGGTGCATAGGCAAAGAGTAAAATGTGGTAGGAATCTCGAGTACCCTGACGATTTAGAAGTGATCACCCAGAGGAATTAGGGAGGTTCTCAGGACATGGACTCTGAGCTGGACTCTGAAGGATGGTAGAATCCAGCCATGTAAAGACTTAAGGAGAAGAGAGAAGAATGTGTACTACAGGCTAAGGAAGGAGAAGGAGCAAAGGCATAGAGATTGGCTTCTCTTGAGGAGGACCAATATAACAGATTAGCTACAATGATTGTATCTTCCCATTTGTGCCTTTTGCAGAGTCAACTAAGCCACTCTTCGTAGCAAAAATGGGTGTGGTGGTGGAGACAATTCCCAGCTCTGACCTACATTTCCCAAGCATCAAATTGTTCCGGGGTTTAACTTCTTTTACTCTACCTCTTAAATCCTGAGGTTTATTAGTCATCTGCGCGGGTTTTATGCTTAGTGTTTACTCATTCAGATAATAGCCACTGTCATTATCAAATCAGCCTCTAAGGGACCATTGTGGTATCTGTTTCTCCATCCTGTGCTTCTCCCTCTAATTTTACTCTGTGATGAAGTAATCAGTAAACTGCAAAGGGAAGTAATTTTAATTCGGGTCATGCAGTAAGGTACCTTCTTCAACCCCACCTGTGCTAACATCTTGGCAATTACCTCGGGCAGGTTTAGTCCATGGATTCAGTCTTTTTCATCCACTCTTCAGAGCAGGTCTCAGTGCTCCACATGCACGAGGAGATAAGGAACAATAAAACCTAGTCCCTACATTCCAGGTAGTCTAGAAGAACTAGGAGAATACAGGCAAAAAGTGAGGGACAGTTAATATTTTTTGGAGTTAACAAAGTGACAGTTTTTCTTCCCCCTGGTGGAAGGGTGTTAATGAGGCTGTTCTGGAAAAGACTGAATTTTAGTTAAGCCTCAAAGGATGGGGATGATCATCAGGCCATGGGCTAAAAGGTGATGCTGTGAACTAGTCTTACCGGGGGATGTGCCTCCTGGCTCTCAAGCTTTGTTATGTGTCAGTGCCTCATATTCATATCAGGTTCCTCAATCAATGATGACAGGTCTTTTTCCCTCACGGTTCTATGTCCATCATCTTTCAGAGACAAACCATTCTGCCAAGAATGTTCAGTAACTCCAAACGCTTACAGAATTATATTAAAATGATGTTTTTCAGGATGAATTTTAGCCTGATGACCTCTCTTAACTTCATGGGGGTTTTGATGTCTATTTCCTCAGGATGAATTTCAAATTTACTCTTGGAAAAAGGTAATGTGGATCTACCTGTCAGCATTAAACAGCGCATTTGGTCTCACTCCTGACCACCCTCTCATTACAGATGAGGAGTGTATCATAAATAGAGCTATAAGAAAGCCAGACCTAAAGGTAAGTACACTTATGGCTACTGCTGATGCCTGAGAGATTTAATCTTTTTTCCCCTCAAGTATAAAGGTAAATGTAGCTCCTCCATGGTGCCAATCCTCATTTGATAGTGTATATTTCAAACTTGAACTTCGGAGCCAGATAGAGCTGAGTTCAAATCACAGCTTCATCCTTCTAAATAGTGAAACCATTGATCTTAACTCTGCTGAGCCTGTTTTCTCATCTACAAAAATGATAATGTCTACTTTTAGTATTATTTGATAAAATTCAATAAATTTACAAATACAAAAATTAATGTAGTTCCAGGTATACAGTAGATGCTCAATACATACTTGCTCTATTTCCTTTTGCTTTTTTTAGAGTAGGAACTCACTATGTTGCCCAGGCTGGAGTACAGTGGCTATTCACAGGCACATGATTATGATACACTGCAGCCTCAAACTCCTGGGTTCAAGTGATCCTCCTGCCTCATCCTCCCTAGTAGCTGGGATTACAGGCATGTACCACCCAGCCCAGCTCTTACATATTAGCTCTTAATAGTATCATGCCCTATCTTACAATCTGTGTAATAGGGTTAATTTTATAGTAAAGATAATCACCCAGGAATATCCCAGGAGGTTTGCTTATGTCTGCAAAAATGACCTTATTTGAATTCTTGTCATTCAAATGTATTTAGGTTGCTCCCTCTTCACCCTATTAAATTAGTTCTGCTTGGATTATGACTAGCTAACACTCATATTGAAAACATTTTATAAGAATATTTTCTCTTACATTTATGTGAGTGTAGTCAGCCGTTTAAATTAGTTTTATGAGCTCAAGGTCAGTTATTTAAAATAATATAAGTAAATGATGAGCAATTTTCCTATCGTCATTGTTGATTGTTATCACCCAGTTGTCTTCTTTTTTTTTTTCTGGAAAGTTTCACTCTTATTGCCCAGGCTGGGGAACTGTCTCTGCTCATTGCAACCTTCACTTCCCAGGTTCAAGCAATTCTTCTGCCTCAGCTCCCCAAGTATCTGGGATTACAGGCAGCTGACACCATGCCTGGCTAATTTTTTTGTTTTTAGTGGAGATGGGGTTTCACCATGTTGGCCAGGCTGATCTCAAACTCCTGACCTCAGGTGATCCTCCAGCCTTGGCCTCCCAAAGTGCTGGGATTACAGGCATGAGCCACTGCACACCACCCACCCAGTTGTCTTAACTGCCCAAATAAGCAAAAACAAAGGAGGTCAAGTACCTCCACATAATAGTTTGCCTAATCTGTTAGGTGTCCATTCACCTGGAGAAGTAAGCTTCCCAGATCAGCCTGCGTTCTCAGAGTTTTATTGCCCTGAAATTCTAGTGTCTTTAGTAGCATCAAATAAATAAGTGGACAGATAAATGAAGAAATGGCCAAGTCAACACACAGAATTGCAGGAGGGGTAGGGGTCTTGAAATGGAAAGGAGTGATATCCAGTTGTAGTATCTTCATTTACCAGCTATGGCATAGGCAGTTTGGTTAGTTACCGCCTCTCTGGTCTTGAGTCTCATATTTACAAAATAAAAGTAATAACTTTTCTTTGCCTTTCTCAAGGCTGCTATGCACATACAATGAGAAGATGGATATTAAGGTGACTGCAATGAGCTATGCTAGTAATATGGGACAAAACTTTCATTAAAGTCAGAGGAGTGGTCATGGGCTCAGCCTTGATGACAATAACAAGATTACCAAGATGATAACCATTTAGGGCCATTTAAAGGAGGGGTCCCCAACCTCTGGGCCACCAATTGGTACCCTGTCCATGGCCTGTTAGGAACCAGGCCACACAGCAGGAGGTAAGCTTTGGACAAGCTGGAGCTAATTACCGCCTGAGTTCTGCCTCCTGTCAGGTCAGCAGCAGCATTAGATTCTCATAGGAGTGAAATCCCTAATGTTGTGAACTGTGCATGTGAGGAATCTAGGTTAGAGCTCTCCTTATGAGAATCTAACTAATGCCTGATGGTCTGAAACCATCACTCCATCCCCAACATTCGTGGAAAAATTGTCTTCCACAAAACTGGTCTCTGGTGCCAAAAAGGTTGGAGATCGCTGGTTTAAAGGAAGTCTGAAGACTACAGCAAAGAACCATGTCAGGTTTGGGAACATAGGCTAAGAGGAGATGCTAAGGACCATCTTATAGAATTGCATGCAGAGCTAACACCCAGTGCTTAACCTGTTGAACAGGATGCTCTTATAACATGTTCTAACAAGAAATTACAAGCAGAAAGCCCAGGGAGAGGAAATCTTCCTGATTCATGGGCAGAAAGATGAAATTCACCCCACAGCAGATATTCAGTTCCTAATTGCTGTTTCCTGGTCTGAATTTCCAGGAAATGGGCAAATAAACCTCATCTCTTGCAAATATTGTGCTTAACATCCTCTTACCAGTTTCCAGAGACTCTGAGAGTGATGGGGAAAGAAGAAAAACTCCTGGCAGAGATATTTTCTCCTGGGGGAATCTCAAATATGCTTAAAAGGTCCAGGACGAAGCCATTCTTCTCACTCTGTGAGAAGAATGGCTTAAGAAATTGTCAGAAGATAATGGAATTTTCTATTTTTTGGCCTGAGGTAAAACTTATCAGTAACCTCTTTATTTCTCATTATTGCTGCTTTCATCTACAGATGTTTCATGTCTATTATGTTTTATACATTTTTCAACCTTAGTCTGTGGTTTCTGCCTCTTGATAATAGATTCTCTAACTGAGCAGGGGCCTCACATTGGAACCACAATATGTGCTTTAAAATTTTTCTAACACAGATTTTTGTATTTCTATAACTAATAAATAGGCAATCATCACTTTCTAAAGCTTGAATCCTGAAGTCAAGGGATTTTCAAATTTTCTTTTGGGACTAGCTTGAATATGATATCCTTCAAGAGACTGAATTTTGGAGCCAGATGGGCTGGAGTTCAAATTCCTGGCAAGTTACTCAATCAAAATGAACTTCAGGTACAAAGTGAAGAGGAAAATAATATCCGCCCTATCACAGGATGATGGATGAAACATAATGTGTGAAAAGTCCTAACATGCTCAATAAATAGTAGCTGTGATTACAATCCTGCTCTGTTTGCAAAACTGCAGAGAATACTGAAGAGAAAAGTAAATTGTGAAGCAAGATGCTTGAGATTCCAACATGTGTCATAATGGCTAACACACCCTAGAGCCTGTCACTTAAAAATATTTCCTTTGCGTTCTCATTGTTCAACACCCGCCTATGAGTGAGAACATGTGGTGTTTGATCTTCTGCTCTTGTGTCAGTTTGCTGAGAATGATGGTTTCCAGGTTCATCCATGTCCTTACAAAGGACACGAACTCATTGTTTTTGATGGCTGCATAATATTCCATGGTGTATATGTGCCACATTTTCCCTGTCCAGTCTATCATCGATGGGCATTTGGGTGGGTTCCAGGTCTTTGCTATTGTAAACAGTGCTGCAATGAACATTCGTGTGCACGTGTCCTTATAGTAGAACGATTTATAATCCTTTGGATATATACCCAGTAATGGGATTGCTGGGTCAAATGGAATTTCTATTTCTAGGTCCTTGAGGAATCGCCAAGGGGAGCACTACACACTGGGGTCTGTTGGGGGGAAATAGGGGAGGGACAGTGGGGGGTGGGTAGTTGGGGAGAGATAGCACAGGGAGAAATGCCAAATATGGGTGATGGGGAGGAAGGCAGCAAATCATGCTGCCACGTGTGTACCTATGCAACAATCTTGCATGTCCTTCACATGTACCCCAAAACCTAAAATGCAGTAAAATAAATTTAAAAAAATATTTCCTTTGCAAATTGTGAAATCTGCAAATTAGAGAGAGATTTTATGTCATTCCCATGGCCAATTTCACTCTCAATTGGAAATAAGATATAGTTTTAAAAGCATTATGTTTCAATCAACCTTACTGAGATAAATCCATTCTGTAAAATAAAAGACAGCATTTTACACCCTACTTGGTAACTTTGAATGTCTGTCTGTCTGTGTGTGTGTGTGTGTGCACATCAGTACATGTACATACACCTATTGCTTAGGGTTAGCATTCATTTTTAGTAGCCTAGATCTTGGAGCTTAGGGATTTAAACTGCGTTTAACTGATAGATAATAACTTGTTACTGACATTTTGTTAATTATTTTTGAGTTGTTTTACAGATCCTTTCTTCCTCTCTTCCTCCTATCTAACTGTAACTTTGGATCATCAACCAACTTTCCCCATCCCATTATCCCCATCCCATTCCTTCCTTTGTATTTAAGTGATTTATTCTAGTAGTATGTTTCGATTCCTTGCTTTTTATTTTTAGTATCAGTGTCTCTTCTATAGGTTACTCTGCAAATCTATTGTCTGTGAGATAACATCCCAAAACCTCATTCTAGCATTTGAGGCTGCTCATACTGAAGCAGCTACGTTGTCTGGGGTAAATACCCCGGGTTCATCGTCTTGTGCCAAGAAAATTTAGAACACGGACACACATGAGGAGTTTAGGAACAGAGGTTTAATGGGCAAAAGAGAAAGAAAGAAAAAAAGAAAAAGGAAAGCAGCTCTCTCTCTAATGAGAGAGAGGACTTCTGTTAGGAAAGACCTGCCATCGGGGATGTGCCAAATTATATAGTCCAGCTTGAGGAAGAGATGTCTGATTTACCTAGGGCTCACAGGTTGGTTCCATCAGGTATGACATTTACATAGCACGTGGGGATGCTGGCTGCCTCACCCTTATCTTATTATGCAAATGAACTTTCCCTTTGGCTGCTGCCATCCTGTCTATTCCTTACTGTAGATGTGGCTAGCAGAGAAGGGAAGCTGGAGTCACCCTTTTGAACATGATTTTGAGCATCTATGTCTGAAGCTCAATTTTAGAGGCTGCTCTTTGTTAGAAAGGAAAATGATTAGGGGCTGCTTTTCATTAAAAGGAAAACCTTACTGAGGACCTCTTTACCCTCATTATCTGCCTAAGTAATTTCTTCTTAACTCCTCTATCAATACTTTGGTTTCGTTTTATCTTTCTAGCTTCATTCTTCATTCTACAAATGGGCATGCTCACTTGCCTTCTTCCCCCAAACTAACTTGAGAACAATCTCTTTAAAATAGTTTCTTTTTTTTCTCATTTGAGTAAAAGTCTCTCAATCCTTCAACACTGTAGCTCATACATTATGTCCTTCCTGATGCCTTCCATCATCTTAATCTCTCTTTATGTCTACAGCGTTTCAAGATGGTATTTTTTATTTTATTACATTTTTATTTTTTTTTTGACATGTACATATTGGACTGTATGTCTTTTTTCTTGGAATTTTCTTCCTTCTTAGTTTATAAAGTAGTAGAATGCAGAGACTAAGTTTTATTCATGTATTTTTTTTTTTCTGTATAGTAGGTCCATGATACATGTTGATTGAATGATGACTTCTAATAAAGAATGCCATTTGTATGATAGAAAAGCAAAAGATAATTTAGAAAAGGATAAAATCTTAAATAAGTATGTTAGAGTTTTATCTTTGCTTTTTAAACAAATGCTTCTTTAGCCACTGAGTTGCTATTTATTCTCCGATCCTCAAACTAGAGGCTTTCTTAGTACTTTTCTTTTGCAGGTGAGATGCATAAAAGTGCAGAAAATAAGATATGTTTGGAACTACTTAGAAGGACAGTTCCAGAAAATTGGGTAAGTTGTTTTAGCAAGTACAAAGAAGAAAAATATTATCTCAAAAGTATTATTGCTAAATGTGTTCTTTTCATTATTATTGTTTTAGCTCTTTGGAAGACTGGCTCAGTTCTGCCAAGATACATCAAAAATTTGGATCAGGCTTAACAAGAGAAGAACAAGATATTAGGTACCATGCATATTATTGCCTATAGTAGCTCAAAAGGATTATTATCAGTTAGCCAAATACATCAGTAAATAGTTATGTTAATGGATTAATATCAGAAAATATTGTAATGTCACCGGGCTGGAGTGCAGTGGCGCTATCTGGGCTCACTGCAACCTCTGCCTTCTGGGTTCAAGCTTCAAGCAATTCTCTTGCCTCAACCTCCTGAGTAACTGGGATTACAGGCATGTGCCACCATGCCCAGCTTTTTTTTGTCCCAGTATTTTTAGTAGAGACGGGGTTTCACCATGTTGGCCAGGATGATCTTGATCTCCTGACCTCGTGATCTGCCCACCTTGGCCTCCCAAAGTGCTGGAATTACAGGCATGAGCTACTGCACCCAGCCGAGAAGGACTCTTTAAAGGCCTTGCTGTTCTGTTTCTATGATTCACATGCTTCCTCCTTCCCCATTTCTAGTACTTTGAAGAGCTGTAGACCCTAGCAGAATCAGTATCACCTGAAAGCTTGTTAGAACTGCAGGATCTCAGACCACTTTTCATCTCATTGAATCTGAATCTTCATTTTAGCAATATCACCAAGTGAGCTATATAAGTTTGAGAAGCACCGCTGTCATGTATTTGACCAAGCGATTTAATATGAGCATCGAGGTAGAAGACGCAGAAAAAGCAGTTAATGTTTTCAACAGTAACATAACTCATAAAATGCCTGTCCTCTGCATAATCAGGGAAACACATTTCTGGGTTTTAGAGACACTGAATTAAAAAGCTGAATAATTATATGTGTAGAACTATTTTTGACATCACAGAACCTTTTCACTCACATTAAAATACATTCTGAAACTTCCCAGAACTTCTAAATAGGGGTAGGAAAGCAGGAACAGCATTTCTTTATAAATGAAGGTATTTTCTCTTAACTACCCTGCCGTATAGTAATAAAACTGGAATTGAGGAGAGACAGAGTTGGGAATATGCCAACTTTGAAACTACTTGAATAAGACAATATGTAATATTAAATACCCAAATTACTATTTAGAAAAATATTTAGAACTTGGGAAGAGTATAGTTCTAGAAGCAATATGGTCATGTTTATTGTTTTTGCACCTGGGAACCCTTCCCTCCCATTATTTTGAGAAGGATGGGAATGGTATGTAACAAGGGAGGCTTATGTTGGTCCCACAAGTGAGAAAGTGACCATGGAATAGACCTTTTTCTGAATAGATGAGGAGTGAGTTTAATTTTTATTATTTGTGACTGATTGATCTGTGATTTGTTTCTACAGGAGGTTAATATGTGGGCCTAATACGATCGATGTTGAAGTCACACCAATTTGGAAACTGCTCATCAAGGAGGTAATTTCTCTAGTATTTTCTCTTGGTGTTGGATAGAAAATAATGAAGTTTGGCTCTAGCGAAACAGAAGTACTGCTTGTTAATAAGTAGTTGTAATATAGAAGGTACTTTGAAAGTATGTCAAGTATATTTTCTTTATATCTCTTGCTTATTCTTTTTCTTCCAGTGGCTATTTTGCACATTGCCTTATGTAATATAGGGTGTGAAACTCATTGTACTTATTTACCATTTAATGACTGCATGAATGCAATTTTTTTTTTTTCTTTTTTAATACTATGCTGCTTAGCTTGTTTTAACTTGGTGAAACTCAAATATATTTTTTTAAGCCAAACCTTTTGTTAGGTAGTAGATGCAATTTCCTTGGTGCCAAAAATTGTAGGAAGAAAAAAATTTATTTATTCAGCCTTATTAGTACTGTTGATCTCAAGGTATAAGATGAAATTTTTCTCTTGGACTCTGTCACTGGGCTCCTCATTTTTTCATTATAGTGATTCTTATCAAACCATAGCCCTCTAGCTGTACTCTGGTTTCCCTGTGCTCTATCTCCACTCCTCCTTGCCTTAAAAAAAGCTTACTAAACTTAAGGTACTTTTAAAATATTTCCAGCAAGCAGTCAAGCATGAAAGAAAGCAAAACAAACCAATAGGGAACGTTTCTGTGTTCTGCCTCTCTAACCAGCAGAAAGGATTACCGTTCCTGTATTAGACAGAGAGAAACCAACTAGAGGGAATTTAAGTTAAGGCACAACATGTTTTTGACCAAAGCAGAATTGCAGCTGCTGAGGTTAACAGCCACACCCTCCCACAGTGTTCTAGATGCTCGATTATAGCTTACTGCTTTCAGCACAGCCCTCTACTTATGAGAACATGCAGTCTTCAACTCACCCATTAATCTAAGGTTCTTTAAAGGCTTCAAATATGGCAGGTGTTGTATCATAGAGAACAAGAGATTAAAAAGTATTTTAACTTTGTAGACCTGAACTAATACTTCACCTTTCTGAAGGCCAGTAAGTGTAAGCAGGAGATGACAACATCTACTTTAAAAATAACTATTTTGATGGTCAACATGTCAATACATGAGACACTACTTTGTAAATTATAAAGTGCGACAATGATTAAAAGTAAGTGCTCTGGGGGACCAGGTGTGGTGGCTCATGCCTGTAATCCCAGCACTTTGGGAGCCTGAGGCGGGCAGACCACAAAGTCAAGAGATTGAGACCATCCTGGCCAAAATGGTGAAACCCTGTCTCTACTAAGTGTACAAAAATTAGCTGGGCATGGTAGCATGTGCCTGTAGTTCCAGCTACTCGGAAGGCTGAGGCAAGAGAATGGCTTGAACCTGGGAGGCAAAGTTTGCAGTGAGCCAACATCATGCCACTGCAGTCCAGCCTGGTGACAGATCGAGACTCCATCTCAAAAAAAAAAAAAGTGCGTGCTCTGGTGTCATATTGACTGGGTTTAAGTCTTGGGTCTGTGGCAATCATAGTCACATGACTTTGGACATGTTTCTCAAGATCTAAGGTTGAGTTTCTTTATCATTACAATGGAGATAAGTAACAACTTCTGGTTAATAAGTTAACTGTGGGAATTAAATGAGAAAATTCAAGTACAGTTGCTTAGAACAGTGTCTGGCACATGTCAATAGCTGAATAAATATAATAAGAATATTGTGTGGGATGATGTATGTCATGAAGATGATTATGAAAACAAGTAAATAAAGAGCTAAGTGTGAAGCCTAAAAATCTCTCTTGTCTTCCTGTTTTTATGTCTGTTAACAGGTTTTAAATCCATTTTATATATTTCAACTATTCAGTGTCTGTCTGTGGTTTAGTGAAGACTATAAGGAATATGCTTTTGCCATCATAATCATGTCCATCATTTCCATAGCTTTGACAGTATATGATCTCAGACAGGTGAGTTTTTCTATTAATTCTATGGTCTCAGCAAGGGAGGGATAGTGACTTTATTAAAAATTTGTGAGAAAGGAGAATCAGGAAATAGTCACTTTTTACTCCATAGTAATTGAGACCAAGTTTGTAAGTAACTAGTACAGTAACCAGTGTTCAACAATTTAGTCCTTTCCCTTTCCTCCCGTTCCAATCCTTAACCTTTCAAGTTGTTTTTCTTCTCTCTTTAGTTTACTCCAGACTAATTAGCCAGAACAACATGCAAAGGTTTATGAATTGTGAATATGTGAAAAAATGTATGTAGAGAATTCTGATGGGACTTGAAGGTGGTGGAAGAGAGATGGAAAGCGGAGGTGTTTGTTTAATGTGAACTCCTGTGCCATTTACGTTGGTGCTCATTCGTCAAGGCCCCAATTCAACTCCTGGATTCTTTATGCCTACACCAGGTTTCTAGATACTGTTGGAAAAAAATTACATAGGACAGATTGGTTGGTTGCACTATAAATCCTTGAATGCCAACCTCATCTAGACAGACCTTCTGTCCATCTCTATTCAAGGTGCTCTACCATTCTCTGAAATTAAGGTTTCAAACCATCTCTGTTTTTTGGTGTCTGAGATGCACATCTTCTCATATTCCACTTTTCCTTTAATTCAGCAGATATAACTTATTTCACGAAGAAGATAGAAGCCATAAGACAGGAAATTGCCCAACTACTCCCCACTTTCCAAGTGCCAAATGACTTATTTCTGCAGCCTCCTCCTGCCCTGACCTCCCATTCCAGTGGAGGAAGTGTCCTCTGCCTGTGCCTGAGAGACCATCCTTTCCCACCTTCTTGGGGTGCTTATGTAGTCCATGAATGACTCCTGTCTTCCCTCTCAAGAGACTTCCCATCAGCATTTAACATTTTTAAGTTTCCCCAACTTAAAAACAAAACTCAAACAAACAGAATGATTTCTTCTCTTGACCATGCTTCTGGATCCAGCTACTATATCACTCTTTCTCCGTTTACATTAACACTTCTAGAGTCTTTGTGTCTGTCACCCTTACTTACTCATCTTCCTCTTACTTTTCACTCATGCCGACATGCCTTCCTCCCTCGTGACTCCATTCGAATATATCTTATTAAGGTTGCCACTATGATCCCAAAGCCCAAAGATCACTTTAAAATTTAAAAAGTCTTTTTAAAAATTAGCTGCTTTCTTTCCTTAATAGAAGGGGCAATATGTGGCTATGATAAAAATAAAACCCAAACAGAACAAAAGAGTGTGAATAAAAATTAAGGATCCCTCTTCTTGGGAAAGCTTCCCAGTGTTCAGATCCTCTTTCAAGATGCATCCATTAGGACCATAGTTTCTGTATACTTTTAGCAATATTAAATGCATATGCATTAATTTGACAGAATGAATAAATACCATGTACACTGTTCTGCACTTGAATTTTTACCTATTCTATTCTAAATATCTTTCTGCATCTGCAACAAATACATTTTCTCTAGATGTACCATAATTTTTAACCAGTCCAATGTTGATACATATTTGATTATTGCTAGTCTTTTGCTACTAAAACAATGCTGCAAGAGCATCCTTGCACATATATCATTTCATACATCTACATATAGGTATACATATGCACACATATTACATATGTCTATAACAAGTACATATGCTTATAAATATCTGTATTGATATAGAGATAGAAAATTTCTGCATTTGAAATTAATTAGTCATAAGCTAGGTACGCTATTTTAATGCAGGTTGTCAAAATGCCTCTTAAAAAAGTAATAATGGCCAGGTGTGGTGGCTCACACCTGTAATCCCAGGACTCTGGGAGGCCGAAGTGAAAGGATAGCTTGGACCTAGGAGTTCGAGACTAGTCCAAGCAACGTAGTGAAACCACATCTCTCTACATATAAAAAAGCAATACCAATTTACATTCCTTGCAACAGTATATAAGTGTTTTTCTTATCTTTGCCAATATGAATGAAAATAGAATTCAATAACTTTAATTGCATGTTTTCCATTATGAGCTGAGCATTTCTTCACACTTTAAGCCATTTGTATTTCTTTTACTGTGAGCTCTTTGTGTCCTTTATTAATTTTTATTGGGCTCTTGGTGTTTTGCTTGCTAATGTTGTGGTCCCCCTGCAGTGGATATACATATATTTTTCCCAGTACAGATTTCGCCAAACCTCTTAGTTGGATTTGACAGTTAACTGCTCTATTCTTTCTGAAGTGCTGTTTTCCTTGGCATCAGTGACAACACACTCTCCATCCTCTCCAGTTGCTCTTTTCCATTCTTTTTTGATAGCTTATCCTCCTCTATCTGGCTTTTAAAAAAATGAGTGTTTCAAAGTCAAAACGACATGAAAATGCATGTAATGTAAAGGCTCCATTTTTCTCTCCCACTCCACTTGACCCACTGCTTTCATTAGTATCTTGTGTAATCTTCCAAAAAAGTTTTTAGGAAAACGAAGCGAATACAAGTATACAAATTTCCTTTTTTTCTTATGTAAGTGGTCGCATAGTTACATTATTTTCTAACTGTGTAAAAAATTACTATTGATATGTCTTGAGGATCTTTTCATGTAAGTACATAAAGGATTCTTCTTCATTTTTATAGCAGTACATGCCATGACTTCTAAAGGCATATGCTAATTCAAATTTGTATATATATCTCAAATCCAGATATCTCTTTTCAGTTCCAGACTCATAGTGTCAAAAACCTGATGTCCCCACTTTAATATCAAAAATTATCATAAATTCAGCACTTTCAACATAAAACTCAAGAACTCTTCTCCTCAAATCTGCAGTTAGGTTTATCTGATTTGGTAACAGATGCTATTGACCATTCTGTGGCACAAGCCAGAAATCTAGTTGCCTAGCTTGAAGCTTTCTTTCTTCGTCCCCTTCAATTACACAGAAGGTCCTTTGATTTTTCCCTCCTAAATATCCCTTGCATCATTCACTTTTTCCACCCTACCGCTATCATGGTTCACGTTAGCATCATTTTCTACCTTGCAGTCACCTCCCATCTGGCCTCCATACATCATTCTTGCAGAACATGATTATTTACATGCTTTTATCACTAAAATGCTTCAAAATATTTCTATTTCTCTTACAATCAACTTCTAAATCTCTTGACAGACTTTAAAGCTTTACCTTGAGGTTCTCAAACATTTTAGTTTCTAGAACTCTTTAAACTCTTAGAAATCACTGAGGACCTCTAAGAGATTTTTATCTTGTAGGTTATACCTATTGATATTTAGTAAATTAAGAATTAAAACTCAGAATCATAAAATATTTATTAATTAAAAATAATAGTAACATAACATTTATATATAAATATATAAAGACAACTATTTTCTGAAATAAAAATAATTTAACGAGAATGGCATTATTTTACATTTTTACAAATCTCTTTTATATCTGGTTTAATAGAAGACAATTTAATTTAATTTTTTTTTTTTTTGGCTTATAAGCAACAAAATTTATTTCTTAAAGTTATGGAGGCTGGAAAGTTCAAGGTCAAGACACCAGCAGATTCGGTGTCTGGAGAGGGCTCTCTTCTTGGTTCAGGGATGGCACCTTCTTATTGCATCCTCATATAGTGACAGAGACAAGGAGTCCCTCTTGGCCTCTTTTATGAGGGCACTAAAATTATTCATGACCTAATCATCTTCCCAAGGCCCATCCCCCTAATATCCTCAACTCAGGAGTTAGGATTTCGACATATGAATTTTGGCTCACATTCAGACCACAGCAGTGTTTTTAAAAAATTGTATGTCTTATAAATTTGTTTAAGTTCTTTGTAGATTCTGGTTATTAGCCCTTTGTCATATGGGTAGATTGCAAAAATTTTTTCCCATTCTGTTGGTTTCTGGTTTACTCTAATGATAGTTTCTTTTGCTGTGCAGAGAAGCTCTTGAGTTTAATTAGATCCCATTCTCAGCAAGCTAACACAAGAACAAAAAACCAAACACCGCATGTCCTCACTCATAAGTGGGGTGTTGAACAGTGAGAACACATGGACACAGGGAGGGAAACATCACACACTGGCGCCTGTCGGCGGGTAGGGGGATTACGGGAGGGTTAGCAGGAGGTGGTGGGATTGGGGAGGGATAACATTAGGAGAAATACCTAATGTAGATGACAGGGGATGGATGCAGGAAACCACCTTGGCATACGTATACCTGTGTAACAAACCTGCACTTTCTGCACATGTACCTTACAACTTAAAGTATAATAATAAAACAAGAAAAAAATTATATATCAATTGATTTTAATACTTTGATAATTGTATTTCTTTGTTATTTCTGACAATTGGATTTTCATAACTGCTTCTGCATTTAGTCTATTGTGATATTAAATACCACTCAGCCTCTGGGCATCTCCACTGTACACTTGTATGAGAAGAAGTTTCTAAAAGGCAGTTAACATCTTAGTGCTATTATGAAAAAAGTATACTTTCTCAGCCCCTGTGGGACATTCCTGAAAACCTCCAGGAATCCTCAGGCCACTCTCTAAGGACTGCTGTTCCACCTGTATGTGTAACTGCTGCTTTTACTTGTTTTTCCTGCCTTAATTCCATCTCCCTTGCTTTCTGCCCTCCAGATGCACTAGCCTTTTTGTTTCCTGAAACATACTCTTTTTTTCTAACCTCAGAACATTTCGACATGTCACCTGGAATTGTCCATTTTTTTAAATCTCTATGATTTGCCCCTACCCCTTGATTAAATCACTCTTACTCAGATCTTAGGTTCAATGTCTCTTCTTCAGGGGAGATTTCTCCTGATTGATTCCCTTTGCTATATATGATCCAAAAGTACTTTACTTTTTCTTCTTATTTCTGATTGTCATTATATATTTACATATGCAATTATTTGATTAAACCTATTTTTCTCAGCAGGTTTAAACTTCTTGGTATCTTAATATATCTTAACCATATCTCTTTTGTTCATTTTATTTAAATTTTGTTTA